TCGATTGGAGTAGTCAAGACAACCCAAGCCCAGTTGGAATAGGAGGGGTCATCAGAGACAAGGAAGGAAAATTAAGAGCACTCTTCTCAGGACGAGTGGGGAATGGAGACTCCTTAAAGGCAAAATTGTACGCAGCCCTACAAGGTGTACAAATTGCAAGAGAGTTAGGATTGGAAAATTTGGTGATAGAAGGGGACTCCAAGGTGGTGGTGGGTTAGCTAAAAAACCCAGATTCAGTGATCTGGGCTTACAGAAATGAATTGAAGAAATTCAATTGGTTAACTCAGCAGATGGAGGTAACTATACAGTGGGTAGGGAGGGAGGCAAATGCTTTTGCTGATTCTCTAGCTAAACAAGGGGTAACTAGGGAGCTGTTGTACTGGGCCCAATTGTAAATTTATGATGTTTCTGTATCAATGAGTGAGGCTGCACCTCGTGCCTCATTTTGGGATGCTTGTAACGAATTATTCATCATTTGCTTCTAATGAAATCAATTGAATTTTATCTATCAAAAAAAAGTTCCCATATGGGAAGGGTGGTGGTGGAGAATGAAGTGCTGGTGGGTGGTTTAGGTGGAGAATGAAGTGGGAGGAATGCCTTCAACAACTTGGTGCGAGTGTTTGACAATGGAAATTTTTGGCRAAGTCAAGATGTGGAAACGAGGACGTTAAGCTCTACGGTGAGTTAAGTTGCGTGGCTTGGTCGAGATTTGGAGCAGAGAGGTGCGGGGCCTCCTTTGTGGAGAGGGCAAGTTTATTGAGGTGGTTGACAGAGGGGAAGGTGATCATATTCTTTTATCAGAAGCGATGACTTTCATTAAAGATAATTTAAAACTGAAATACAAAAGTCAACCCCTATTAGAAGAGGTTGATCCAATAAACATCAAACATTACAGCACTGTCCAATAAAGTCTCTCCCTCACAGTCCCTTGTTTCGCTAAGGCATCAACAAAACCATTTGCTGATCTCCTTACCCACTTGAAACAAACACCCACCTCCCTTGTTATGCTAAGTATTTCCCTGATCAGCTATCTATATTGGCCAGTTTTACTCCTTGATGTTGTGCCAAGATTTCTGCTCTTAAGGAATCTCCAACTCCAACTAGGCCTGAATACAGAGCCATTATCTTGCCTTCATTATCTTTGAAAACATCTCCTATACCAGATGGGCCCGGATTACCTATAGAGCTTATATCAAAGTTTAGTTTTACCCTTTGTTGTGTTGGTGGGGACCAAACTTCCTATACCACAACTTTGGAAGAAGTTGTAGCTGCCACAATACCCCAATTTCTATAAATGTCTTCAGATGAGAGGCCTTAAAAAGATCACAAGATTTCAACCAATGGATAATCTTAGTGGTTATCTTCCTTGGATCTACAACTACCTTTGAAGATCCTATTATTTCTTTCCTCCCACACTAACCACAATACAACAACTCTAGTGACTCTCCACATAACCCTTCCATGGACCTTTTGGTTGCCTGCAAAAAAGATGGATCAAAGAGGTTCACCACACTCAGGGGGGGGGGAGTCCACCTGCAACCAAGGAGAGAAGAGAACCAAGACCAAATAAAGAACACAAAGGGGCATGAGATTAGTAAGTGTGAGATTGTCTCACTAGAACCCAAGCAGAGACTACAAACATGGGGGGAGAGGCACATATTTGGCCTCTTTTTTTTTGCAATAAATCCAAGGTATTGATTTTTTGGAGTGCCACTTCCTAGAAAAGGCCTAAATTTTTGGAGGTATAGAGCTACCCACACCTCCTTTGAAGGAAAGCTCCCTGCAAGGTTAGAGGTCTGAAGCAAAATGTTGTAGAAAGAAAAGTAATTGAAAAAAAAAAACCAAAAGGGGAAGGTTTCCAAATTTTGCTATCCCTACAAGACTGATCTAGAAGGACTTCCCCTAACTGAGTAATCAAATCATCAACCATCCCCATTTCAGAATCCCTTAGACCTCTTCTCAAGCCCAAGTCCCAGGAGTTATCGACAAACACTAAAGAGATCACTTTTCTTTTGTTTTCTGTCAAGGAATAAACAGAAGGGAATCTATCTCTAAGGGAGTTTTCACCAACCCAAACGTCTTCCCAAAACAAGACTTTATTTCCCTTGCAAACATCATATTTGAAATAAGGGAGCATAAGAGGCAAAATACCTTGAATAGCTTTCCAAGGAGAAAATCAAGAAGCTCTAAGGTCGAGTCCTGCATCCCAGCCGTTATCTACCAATTCATGGATACTAAACAATCACTCTTGACCAAAGTTTGTCGTGTTCCATCGGTAGCCTCCAAATCCATTTCCCCAACAAATTTGTATTTCTTAAGTAATCCTTCTTAGTGTTCCCTGGTTTCCACAAGAAATCCCTCATTATCTTCTCTAATTGGTTTGCTACTTTCATTGGTACTCTAAAGGTAGACAGAAAATAAACCAGCAAGTTGGCCAAGGTTGACTTAATTAAGGTTATCCTACCCCCTAAAGAGATGTAATTCCTCTTCCAATTTGCTAACCTCTTGGAAAATCTTTCAATCACAGGGTACCAAAAGCTCTCAACCATTGGGTTCCCTCCCAATGGTAGCCCCAAATATTGTAATGGCCAGTCCTCTACTTCACACCCCAATATCCTAGCTAGGGAATCCACCTCCTCTTGAGGGGAAGGTGATCATGAAAGCGAGTACATAGTGCTTTTATCTAATCTTTGATGGAAAAGGGGACATTAAAAGAAAGGAGTTCTTAAAAGTATGTTTGGTCTGTACAATGGATACAAACTTCTCTATAGAAGAGATGCAGGGGTGGGCCTTAAGAAACTGGGGGTTGACGGTGGGAATCATAGTAAGAAGAATGGCGATAACCAAATTCCTATTCATACTACCTTACTCGAAAGTGGCAAGGAGAATTCTAAGGTCAGGGGCAATAAATGTAGGAGGTGTCTTGTTACATTTATAGTGTGGAAGGAGATGGATGGTTGCTGGAGGATGGAGACTGGTCCCCTGGACTCGTAGAGGATACCTGGAGACCAGTCCCCCGGTCTCCTCACTTATGGAGTGAGGAGATGGTGAAGAAGATAGGGGACTTATGCGGAGGATACCTGGAGACAAACAATTTGGTAGAGGCAAAAGAAACAGTGGAGTGGGTGTCCACCAGCAGCTCCGACGAAGGACACCATTGAAGCAGAAGGGGAGTGGAAGTTGATGGTTTTGAAGGGGGGAGGCATAGGGGAAGAAGTGTATATGTTTCTTTTTTGATATTAATACAATACTGTATATGTTAAATCATGATTTTCAAAACCGGACAGGACCAGACGGTTGGACCGAAATGATCAATTCCGTTTTATCCCAAAACTGCTTTTTGGCCAAAAACATTGATTTGGTCAGCAAACCGCTGACTCCGGCAGTCGAACCATTGACTCAGACAACAGTTTTTGGCCTTTTTTTTGTTTTTTTGTTTTATTTTTTCTATCAGAATGGGCAGTCTGTTCAGACCGGATGGTCGGACCGTTTGACCTGGGAACTGGACCCTAGAATGGTTCCCTATCCGGACTGGTTTTAAAAACCTCGTGCTAAATTATGGGCAGACTGTATATGTTTCTTTTTTGATATTAATACAATACTTTCCTTCTCAGGCAAAAAAATAGCAGTTATCCAGGGAGGGATGCTTTGAAACACAACTCTCTCCCCAGTCCCCACCCCTCCACTAGCTGGGCTATGGGTTGCCTATTAGAGAGTTTACCAATCTTCTAATATATGCTCTGTAGAAACTAGAACTCTAGCTTGTATATCATATTGTCCGAATATCTGAGGTTCCTCACTTCACCCTGAACCTACCAACTAATGACTATATGTTAATCATTCACAATCTCAGATACTACAGCCCATGAAACCCATGAATTGTAGGCCTCAAAGTGAGTCTACTGGTTGGTTGGGCCTAAAAATAATACCTCGGGATAGAATTCTGGCACATCACTACTAAAGACATATCCTATTCCCAAGGTCCTAAGTTCTCTTAGGAGCAGCTATGCACTAGAGATATGCATAGAGATTTCTCTCTAGATGGCATAAGTAGGACTGGCAAAGGCAAGTAATCTAAATCCAGACAAATTATCAATCAAATTGGAATCCCAACACTCCCCTTGGCAGCAGTTGGCACAGCAGAACACCCCAAGTAGTAATTTTAAATAAGCGATAATCACTGTATCTCTGGCATATCACCATATAATCTTTCCCCTTGCATCACCTTATAATTTTCCCCTTTCCTCCTAAGATTGAAAAGTTCAGCTGTAAAGAGAGACATGATGTCCACTGTATGCTGCTATTGATCCTTGAGGAGAGCAAGAAAGTGGCTTCAGAGACACACACAAGAGATAAAGAAAGGAAGTGGCTTCTGGTAATTGAGATTGAAATTAAAGTTAGCAAATTGCTGGGGCTATCTTTTCTGGGAGGGGAAGAATTTGCAAGAAATCCTTCCAGGAATTGGAAAAGAAGTATCCTTTGGACAAGGAAAGTTCTATCGGGGAGTTTTGAGTAGTAAATTGAGGCTGGAATTCGAGGGCTAGGGGAAGATTGATTTGGGTCCTTATGGGTCTGGTATGGGCAGTGAGGTTTCTTGATCTCTTAAGGGGTGGGGAAGGAAAAAAGGTTGTATTTCAAGTGGCTGGAGGGATCTGACACTTGGGTCTTAAGGTTTTTCTTTTTTCTTGTGGGTGATATCTTAATCACCTCTTTTGTGTCTTCTTTTTCTTATTCCTAATAAAATTTCCTTTTTTATTTATTACCAAAATAATATTGGTATGTGAAAATTTTCCAAACATTCTTAAATTAATATTTAGTATGACTGGTTTGAATTTCCTCTATGATTTCGGAAAAAATGCTGTTACTGTGGAGTGGCAGTGGCATTTTACTTTGGCTTTATATTTTCATGACCAGAATATATTGGTTTTGTCATCCAYATATAAAGGAACTTACTAGTTCATACTCTGGGATTTAAGACCCCCGTATCTGAATTTATCTAGATTGTTTGCTGAAAGTTGCATCATCCTCCAAGCCTAGAGAAGCAGGATTCTATTGGGGGTACAAAGTGCGATATGCTTCGAATCTCAGTTCTGTGTTTAAAGAATGCCCATATAAGGTATTCATTTTCTTTCCATTTCTCTTGTTTTGTTTAATCCATATAATTAACTCGATTAACTAGTTAGAAAATTTTCATGTGTAACTTAATTTCTTTTGTATAGGGTGGATATGATCATATAATTGGAACTTCAGAGCATGGTCTCACTATTAATTCATCAGAGCTGAATCTGCCTAAATTCAGGTACTGTATATATAAATGCAGCAGAGTGGCTGTAACTATATATTCTTAGGAAAAACAATGCTACACACACATATGCACAACATAGTAACTATATTTTCTATGCATGTCTATAAATGAAGCATGACAGCTATATCCTTTGTAATACAGTTCGGATATTGATAACAGTATTAACTTATGGCACATATAGGCACCTATTGATTGCTTTTGGTGGACTTGCTGGGTTGGAAGAGAGCATTGAAGAAGACAATGAGCTTAAGGTATGACATGGCATGCACTAAATTGGTCTGAAGTCTTCTGGTGTTTTTATGAGTTGACATTTTACATCAACTTTTCAAATGTCAAATTCACAGTACAAGTACTTCGAATTGCTTGTAATATTGCTTATAACTGCTTTACTGAGATTGCTATAATTATAAGCATCATTTAAACTCTTTCTTATTTGTTTGCAGGGAGAGAATGTAAGAGAGGTGTTTGAGTCCTACTTGAATACATGCCCTCACCAAGGGAGTAGAACAATACGAACTGAGGTACCTTTTGATCATTGATCTTTTCCTTTCCTTATCTATTATCAATCTTTTGCTAACTGCATCTATCAAAAAATCTTTTGCTAACCACAGTTTCTTGCAATTATTATGCACAGGAAGCCATCTTTATATCCCTACAGTATTTTCAAGAACCAATTAATCGAGCAGTGGAGAGATTTCACCATTGAAATTAGCTTCCAGGGCATGAAGTCTGCAAGGCAAATCCGACAATATGATCCTAATCAAACACTGCTACCTATTAAGTTAGTCATGGGCATAAGACGGGTGGGGTGGTGGGAAAGAAGAGCGGTCAGTACAACATGCCTTAAAATATTTTAGTTTTCCTGAATCCATGAATCCTGCTCCAGTCATCTTAGTCCCCTTTCACATGTCGAATACTTGATCTCACTAGTTCTTGGGGGTTGCGGCCTTGTGGGGATGGACGAAATCTGAGAATATATCGGACTTGTTAGAGATTGTGGTTGTTGCTATTGAACGTCATTTTTTCACCATATCCCTGGTGGTGTGTTTTTTGAGGGCCATTTTTAATTTTTGTTAGCAGTATAGGAGAGAGTTAGAGACGCGTTTATGAGGTTTCTTTATGTGCTTAGTGGTCAGATAACATAATCTTAATATTCTTGTATGAGATACTGTACCGACCTAGTTGAATGAATTTGCCTGCGGGCTTTGATTTCAAGAAAAAAAAGGGGTAATGTACACCATATACAGGTTGACAAGTGATGGGGGTTTCAGGTTGCAGGCGTTCCTCTTATTTTGAAGCACACTCAAGATTTATGTTCCACTTTATAGTCTAGTTTGAGTTTCTTTTGAAGCCTTTACAGAAGTTTTAAAGGGTATAGGAGCACTGTACTTTTTAAAATCTGATGCCGAGAAAGGTCTCTGGAAGTGGAAACGTATTCATAATTGTAGAAGTAGCTCATCCCCAAATTAGAGGTGTTATGTGGGTCATGCCGCCAGCTAGACAACACAAGGTAGCCCATCCCCAAACTAGAGGTGTAATGTGGACAGTACAAAAACTTTTGTGGGCCACCTGCACTGTAACAGGCTGTGCCTGGTTGGGTCGGGTTTTAAGCTAGTGTGATTTTTTAAGAAAAATTAAAAAGAAAAATAATGAAAGAATAAATAAGTTGACAAGGTAGACAATAAGGGCCTGTTCGTTTACTTTGAAGTTTGACATTTAAAAGTGTAATAATTACATTAAGAGGTATATTAGTATTGGTGAATTTTTCTTTTATCTGAACTTTGAATCTGAATTCTGAAAGTATCAAATATCCATTTTGACCCCATATATGAGAGTTTTTGTTTGTCTTTTTGGCAGTATCATGGAAAACAAAAAATTATATGATTGCACTTTAAGCTCCATTTGGAAGGAGTACAAATACAAATATTTTGAGTGCCAAACTTTATATTTTGTACTATTTCGTATGTATTTGTATTATACATATTTGTAATTGTACTCCCAAACTGAGCCTTTAGAGATAAGAGATAAGAGGAAATGAACAACCATTTTTCTCTTAATGTTAAAAGATTCCTCTTAAGAAATAAGAGTTAAGAGGAAGCGAATAAGCCCTAAATTGAAAAAAAAAATTCCATTTTGATATATACAATTATTTAGTATGAATTATGAAATAATAAATGAAATTAAAAGTTACAATAAAATTGATTGTACAACAGTGGGTTGGGTTGACATAAGCTTTCATGGGCTAGGTCGACACATTGGCCTACCACTCTGAATTTGCTACCCACTACTTGTTCCTACATCTATACCCATGAACACTACTACCGTGTATTGGGAACATCTCCATATGAATGAAAAGGGAAATATTCCCAATGCACAATTGTTGTGTCATGTGGGAACAAGTAGTGGGTAGCAGATCCGAGCCCTTGGCTTGTCGGCCATAAACCTTCATCCCAGCCCAACCTTGGAGTCGTGATGTGCCTAACATGTCTACCATTGTAGCTAGTGGACAGGCTTGTGGACGGCTCGACCTGTCTACCCCAAACCCTGGTATAGGCAAGATTTAAACATCTTCCATGCTGCTTTGGAACTCAAAATGGAAGTATCGGGATGTGGGGATAGTGTTGTTAGGTTCAGAATGAACTTGGTTGTTAAACCAATAAATTGATGTCTCAGTGGGTTTTATTGGTTTTCGATTGGACCTCGTCCAAATAAAAATCAATTTGGGTGGATTGGATGGACCAATAAGACATTGAATTGAATGGGTCCATATTTAATGGCCCAAAATATTTATTGGAGGGTTGGACCTGGTCCATTTGTAATGGATTTATATTGGATTTGTTCAGATTGAACCAATAGCTGATCCATTGATAGAAGATAAGAATACATGTGTAAATGGATGGAGTTTGGGTTGGAACCAATCTAAATTATAAAACCAATTTGAACAGATTGGATGGCCTGGACATTAAATTGGACCGGTCCAAAATGGTCCAAAGCATTCATTGGATTGGATTGGATTTGACTTGGTCCATCTGTGATTGATTCATATTGGAATGGATTGGATTGGACCAAATCCAGTCCAATTGATACCCTTACTCAAAGCTTGTTTTCTTGTTTGAGATGCTTCATATACACAGTGTAAGATGTAATTGTACTTTTTGTGTAGTTGTACTCAGATACATGAATATGAGTGAGAGGCTAGAGCAATTGCTGAATAGAATTTGCATCGATAGGGTTGTAAATGGATCTGATCAGATTTGGTAAAGGGTATAGCCAATCTGGTAAGAAATCTGGTTGATATATCTTATTGGATATATGATTCAATTAGAATTGTAATAAAAAAACTTGATATAATATAAATACTATATCATATTATTTATATAATATAATATATATAGTATTTATATAAATAATATATAATATATAATATTTCCTAACTAATGGATCGGATTGGGTGGTGGCAGATCATATCGAAATACATCCAAGTTTGATTTGCTAACTAAATGGATTGACTTTCCCAATCTGATCCGATTTGTTAGGATCAAGGGAAGTATCTGAATCTGGCTCTTACTAGATCGAATTTGAATTTGAATCAGATATGATCCAATTTATTTGTAGCCCTATGCATTGACACCCATAGAACGTGCCCCACAACACACCCCTATTGTGTAGAGACCAAATCTGCTCCTCACACAGGGTGCCTCACACCGACCTCACACGCACATCTTACTATGCATTGGGAACATCTCCCGTACTTATAAGTTATTATTCATAGGAGATGTTCCCAATACACGACGAATGTGCCTGTGAGGCGCCCATGTGTGAGGAGCAGATCCCATTCCTATTATGTATTGGTAATATCTCCCAATGACAAGTACATGAGATGTTCCCAATGCACGCTGAGATGTGCATGCTGGATGCGCTCTATGGGTGCCAATGTGAACTCTGCTGAATAGAGCCACAAAACTTGTTGCATTCCCCGTACTTGGATCCGATATGCTTTAATCTCTACACTATGGTTTTTTTTTGCCAGAAAGGAAAATACTTTCATTATTCGATAGCATAGTTTGTACAGAATGGTTGTGAGCTACCGATTTACAAGCATTGTATGCTAAGTTGTGAGTGTTATGCCCCATTTGTCCCATGTTGGTAGTATGGGATGCTAATGTGAGGTATCCCACATCGGTAGTATGGGATGCTGTTGTGGGGTATATATGTGCTTGGGTTTCCTCCCTCTAATAGATTCATGTTTCTACTTACATGCTTTATACATATATCTATACTACTAATAAAAGAGAGAATAGCCCCATTTTGTGGACTTTTCATTAGACATTTTTACCCCTTATCTAAGCAAAATACAACGGGCATAAAAAAGGGCATATATATCCTTTACTCTCACTTCAAAAAATGTCCACTTATAACAGTTAAGAAACTGTCCACTTATAACTGTTCAAAAACTGTCTACTTATAACAGTTAAGAAACTGCCCACTTGTAACTATTCAAAAACTGTCCATGAATTGTAAATAGTTGTCTTGGAGATAATGTCACGTGCAAATGCACGTACATGTTTACTAATTATCAAAAAGATGCAAAAGGTTGTCAGCACCTTCCTTTAGTTGATGTACTTGCATACAATTTATAACCAAAAGAGATTTAGAGGAGAGTTATTGCTAAACTTTTCCACTCTAGCGCTTTGAGAGTCCATGCATCAGTGCCCTCCATTTTTTTTTGATTGGTAACTGGATGATGACTTGATTCTCCGGATTTTTGCGCACAAAATGGATAGGTCAAAAGATAATATTACAAAAACTTGTGCTAGCTTTCCTCGATATTGGATCAAATGATCCATCCATATAGACTAGTATTTGGGGATTCTGGTTATCGTTTTCTTCAATCTGTTGATTAACCATCTCATTCTATGATGAATACAAATATGAAATAGCTTTTTCAATCAATTAATTTGGACTCCACATTTTTTTTGTTGTGAATTTTTTGCATTTCACATGTCCCATATAAGTCTAAATACAACAAAAAATTTTCCAACGCAATAAGTTCTTAGGTCAAGGTTCAATTGACTTATTTTATTTTGGCTCCAATCTGAGATGAATTGGCCTAAACTTGGTGACTGATCTCTAGATTTATTCCAATTTGAGTTGATAGCCAGAATGCTTTTGCATAATGATAGTGAAAGAATAAGTATCTCCAGTTTTCTTGAGATAAGTTGAAAAGAGGACAAACTTTATCACTTTCTTGTAGGAATTTTGATATGTCCCTCATTTTATTTCCCTCCCACCAAGTTTTCCACATAAACAGTTTGTTAGACAGTTATGCCCTTAGCTCCAATTAGATTGATGTACTTATTGACATTTATTGTAAATGTATAAAATGCATAATTGATTCATGTTATTTTGGTGTGTTTCTGTGTAATACCCTTAAACTGGACACTTATGAGACTTATGTTAATTTAGAATCTTCACAACCGTTGGATAGATCTGGGGAGATTTATCTTGCCAAGGTTGACGCTGATGTGCCGCCAAGTGGGTTGGGGGGGGTTTGTGTCAGCTACCAGGGTGAGACCCTGAATCGGACCAAATTCCAGTATTACCCTGGACCTTGGAGACAGATGGGCAAAATTGGAATGTTACACCTGACCCCTAGACTCGATTAGGGTATTGYACTAGTGTTGGATTAGACTGTCTTTGATATGCCAATCAGTGAGATCATTAGCGGGGGTCAAAACCTGGGTATGTTGGGATAGTTTGAGAATTCACCCGAGTGGGTGATCATAGTGACAGGATTAGCCCCTTTGTCAAACAAAGTGAATGATTAGGGAATGCACTATCTCTGATGGAAACCTAAACTGCCGGCAGTTGATTTCAAATTGTTAAGATTTGTTTTTGCAAAATAAATTTATATAGAGATGCACATATATATTATGGTTTCACAAAATGCTTGCAAAAATGTTTTAATTCCCGGGATCCATGTGAGTAGAGAGTGCAACACTGTACCTTGCAGCTGACGGAGATGTCATCTCTTGCCGGGCAGTGTTTGATCATTATGGACTGAGAGGTTAAGTGTAAGACCATTGAGGGTAATACCTGATGGGCTAATCTTGCATCTACCCATAGTCCTTGGGCCTTCATAAGGTGTCTGCACCTAAGGACCATTTAGTGTAAATGTCGAATCCATTAAGAGCCCATATTGATGGGTTCAGGGG